CTCCAAAAGATCATGTGTTCAGAGGAAAATAAGGCAGAGAAAACAGGAAAATTATACCATGCCTCTTAAAACCTACAGTCATATCACTGCTTTCTGAAACTGTTAAGAAAAGCCTGTGCTGGTTTTCTCTGGAGGGCAGAGCCTCCAGATGTGTGGACGCCATCTCCAGAAGCCAAGGTGCCTCAAGGTCAGGGCATGCACTGTTAGCACCAGCACTGCCTTGGGCCACAGAGCCAGCAAGTTTTGCTTTCCTAAAGAGGTAAGAAAACTTTAAAAAGGTGGGTGTTCTCGGTTAACCAGACAGAGTAAAGGCTGAAGGCAGGCAGGTCCAGTCCGGCAGGTCCCAGCCACCTTGTTCTGCCAAGCGGTGTTGGGGAAGCTCCTCTGGGTCTGTGTGACCACACTGCTCCCACCAGGGAACCTCTGCCCCAATTACAAGGATGTCTGCTCACTTCTCGCACATGAGCAACGCTGCTGGAAGTGAGACCTCTTATAACCTTGCTTCACAAAATAACATATTTATCTTTAACAGAGGGTTAGACAACAAATACTAATTAACCAAGAATGTAAAGTAAATTTATTTACCCTTTATAGCTGAACAATTCACAGGGAGCTCACAGCAATTCTCTGAGATAAATGTTAAACAGGGCTGTAAAAAGAACAGGCCTGTTTTTCATTTTTTCTAATGAAAAAAATGTCATTCTGCTTTCTAACAACTTAAAAATCATATCAAAATTTTCAGTGAAATGGCAAAGTGTGTGCTTGCTGTGGTATAAGGGGATTTAGAACTTTTAGTTCTTTTCCACTTAAAGTCGATGAGATATCTGTCACTGAACTCAGTGGGAGTAAGACTAGATGATTTGGCAGCATCTTTGGGTATTCGACTTTGCACATTAAAAGCTTGGATTTCTGGTTGGTTTTTATTTTTGTTTTTTAAGAGCTACCACATTCCCTTGAATAAATACAATTTGCAGCTCACTTTATAGATGTGCTAAAGTCTTTACAGACTTCCCTTATAATCTGTCATATAAATCCATATTCAAGTGTCAACGTGTGAAAGGGTTGCTTTTAGAGGTCCTGTGGGTGAAAACATCAATGGAATTTCTAGAGGAAGTGCTCTCAAAGTTGAATAATTGATCTGTTCAGCTGGTTACTTTAGAAATAAGATATTGACAGTAAGAGTATTCAACATATTTTTTTTCTTTGCTTTACACACCTGTAGCTCACAACTATCAGAGTTGGCAGTTTTGGTGAGAAAACTTACTAAAACTAAGCTAGAGAAAGTGAGCCTTAGATGCAGTAAGTCAGTGCCAGCCTCCAAGAATCCCCCAAAACTTGTTAACTTGAATGGCAATTTCAGGTATACAAGAATAGCAGCTTCAACTAGTTATAAGTAGAGGGATTAATACTACTACTTCTGAGATCCTCTCTGTGACTATTATGCTGTGTTTACGTTGTTTCTGCTCACAGTATCTTTTGCTTGTTTCTTTTTTCCCTTGCCTTTCACCCTTTGAATATCCAGTTTACTTATTTATAAGGTGTTTCATTTAAAAAGCCAACTGGGAAAACTTGTAAGAGTAAAGACTAAGGTGAGCATGTCTAGTTTAGAAACTGTCCTTCGCAGTGGCTGTTTAACCCTTCCCTTTTGCCACAACAGTTGTGTGCTGCTCCAGTGTTCTCTTCTTTGGAGAAGTTATGTAGCCCATAAAAATTCACTGGAAAGAGGGCATCTGCCACATTTAATGCCTAATCTGGCTCTCTTTGCTTATGCAAATCTAATCAATGGACAAATTCTCTTCTCCCAGCAGCTGCACTGTAGTATGAACACCATCAAAGACTTCATCAAAGTTTCTCCAAAACAACTCTGGGATCACTGAAATGCAAAATTAGTTCTCCAGCTTTACATTGCCAGCTATTTCCCTCATGTGAGTAAGACTCCCAGAATCTGGTCCTTTGTTTCCATGAATTAGGGCTAACCACATAACTTGGGATCAGACAAGTAAAGCAAGCGAGTGGGCTGAGCACAGTCAATCCTAACAAATTACAATAAGAAATGTATCACGCTGCCTGCTGTCAGGTGTAATTTATGTCATACCAGAGGGGTGACTGGAGAGCAGGTATAGGCAGGAACTGGTCATACCTATACTTGCTCCTGCTGGGCCTGATCTGGCAAGCTGCTGAGAGCTCTTCCCTCCCGCTGAAGTCAACACAAACTGAGTTCATTTAGGACCTAACAGGATTGGGCCTCCTTCAAATACTATTGAAAGATAAACATGATTCAGTGATTGTTTTCCGTTTCCCATTAGCAAGTGATGTCTCTGTGTACGATCATGTTTATACACATGTGCTTAAATGTGCATGTGCTGTATAAATTACAAGCTAAAAGTCTATTTGGGATTTTGGAACACAGAAAAAGAGATAGAGGTTGTAACATGAACAGGAAGGTTATTCCCACAGCTTTCACTTTTAGTGAGTGCAAATTATATTTTATGTGACACAAGCTAAGATTTAACAATGCATTTCAGCATATGCTTACATCTTTCCCTGAAACAGAAACTAGAAATTTGTTTAATTTCTTGGATTTGAAGCTTATAAATTCATGCTCAAACCAAGAGTTTAATATGCTGTCCAAAATAATCCAGGAAACTCTGCATGTGGATGAGTATGGCTATGCCTCTATATGCGGCCATGCACATCATCAAGTGAGCATAATTTAATAGTGCTCTGGCATTCTTTCCAGATGTCTCACCCAGAAAAGCTATCTCCTTCTTCTTGCATCTGCAAGAGATGCCTCTCTCATCCAGAGCACTGCAATGGAAATCTGTGCCTTGTGGAAGAATCACACACAGGCAGCGAAGCACCATCAGGAGCTCCCATCATCCCCACTGAAATAACTGCAAGTTTTATTTTGATTTAACTGGGAATGAGAGTAGGACAGGCTCAATGGGGCAACCAACCAAGTCTACAGTGCACTGCTGCAAAAAGCCAAATTATGAAGAAGAAAAGAAAAAAAAAAAAACACAACAACTAAGATTTGATTTGAAACTTAAAGTGAACTCGCCATCCATAACACATGTAGCAATGCAATCTACATAGGGGTGGTAAGGGGTTATGTTTTGCTATAAAAATATACACGGCTACTATGTAATCCTTCTGATTTTCAGATCTAGCTCTTCAAGCTCTTACTCCTGTAAGAACTGAAGTTTGAGCAGCTGAGAAAGCATTCAAGCCTTATGAGATAATACTGCAATGCAAACAACATACAGTACACAGCAAAACATCTGGCAGCACAAGAGCTCTGGTCAGTCACAGTTTTGTATTTTTAACTTAATAGAACTACAGAACCTTATGGAATATGCTTCTGGTATCTTCGCAAACAGGAAAAAGATTTTAAATCACTACTCTGTTCTTTTTATATAAAATATGTGAATTTATGTACATTTTTTTATTAAGCAAGTCTGATATGAGGCACATTTTAAAAATAGTGTCAGCAGTGATATTTTAAAACGCAGAAACAGATGTGCTATTCCATCACAACTACTGAATCTTCTCTGTATTTTTCTACTATGAAGCAATTGTCTGCTCCTGTTGTAAATCTCTCCCCACCAAACAGACTTCTCTATGATTAAAGTACCACACAAACATAAACAGCAACTGTTCTGGAAAAAAAAAAAAAAAATATATATATATATATGGTTTCAGCCTAACCATAGGATACAGGTATTTTAATAATTGTTTCTTTCCCATAGACAATGTAGCAAGTATCTCTCCTTGGCATGAGAACACAAGTCCAGCTTTATGACATCAGAAGCATATCAAGGTATCTCCATAAATGACATTTATTGCTTGAGAACCTGCCAATTCTGTGCCAAAAAGCTAGTTCTTTAAAAGGAAAAATCCCCAAATAAATCTAGAGCTTTACAGTGGTTGTCAATAAAGAAAAAAAAAAGTCCTTCTCTTTACAGAAATACTGGCCATGTGGGTAGCAAAATCTCTGATAACTCGCTGGCCTGAGCTCTGGATTACTTTTGAGTCCATAGTCTCCTTTACGCAGTCTGACAGGCACCTCCATGCTACACATCTACACCTTCTGGTGGTTACACATGAGGCATTTATCCTTCTGAAGCATAACAGTCAGAATGACAAAAGGATGAATCATTTTAGTGATCAATAACTGTAAAGCAAAATCCGGTACTACTAAAATGAAAATATTTTAACCCTGAAAACAGCGATCTCTTTCACAGTACCATTACAGGTCTGATGCTACCCAGGCTGACCCATACATCGTGGTGCCCAGTACCCCAGAGAACTGGGACCTGGGCAAGTAACAAAGAGACAGTGTTACACGTACAATATTTTCATGCCACCTCAGTTCATAGTTTGATGTATCTGGAGTTCCCTCTGCGATAATACGGCCAGAACTAAATTCTTTTTGCCAGGCTTGTCATCAACATCTTCAGTGCTGATCAGCTACCCTAAAGTATAAAAACTGGATCCAAAGTGTGGCTGCAAGTGCATGGAGCTGCTATACTGGCCACTGCCCACAGGACATAGCTGCTGCCACAGAGGCACTGAGCTATGCCTGACTTTAGGATTTCTGCTGGCCAACAAAAGCATCTGTCTGTCCTAGTATAACTGAACTGTTTTGTTCTCTCAAAAGGGGAAAAAAGAAGTATTTTTTTCCCCTAAATCTGAAAGGAATAGGTTGCTAGGTACAGTTGGAAATAATCCAGGACACCAACAGGTGCTTCACACGTAGCAGTACAGTGCTGAAGACACTGAGAGGGAAAATGAATAGGCTCTCTAAATAATACATAAATTGTACAGGCATTTTTTCTATACAACACCAGTGAAGTTAACGTATAAATTGGAAACTGAATTATTCATAAGTCAATATATAATAAATGGTATTTCACACCAAAATATGCCACACAGGTGCACGAGTATTTCCATGCAATGAACGGAATGAGGCAGAGAGACTGAAAATACAGAAGTCTTACCTGGAGTCTGGGTACTTGGTCAGGGTAGCCAGGCTGCTGGTGTACATGTGTCCTCCTACATCGATGTGCACAGGAGCGTTCGACTTGGTGAGCTGAGCTGGGAGAGGAATTCCTTGAGCAGCCAGAGGAGAAACTGGGGACCGTGTTAGAGACAGACGGGACATGCTTCTTCCCTCCTGGAAATGGAGGACAAAAAGAACAGTTTCTCTTAAATGTAGCAGTATGTTACCTTTATTTTCAGTGTGATCACAGATCTAATCAGATCATTTTTGCATCTGCCTGATCACATATTCAGCTAACAAATTATTGCCACCACTGTAATTAAGTGTATTTGCATCATTTTCTTTAAAGTACCAGAGGGGAAGGGAAAGATGCTTATTAGCCATAAGAAATCAAGAAAAAAAAATTTCAAGGTGTCAGCCTCAAGGGGCATAAAACAAACTGCAAAATTCTAATTAAAGGTCGCGGGCTTATGTGTTAGATGTGAAATATCCCCTGACAAACGAATAACCAATTTGTGAATTGGGATTCAGGGGGTTTTGCAAGTTTGTCTCAGTAACAAGACACCTCTAAATTAGTGACTTCCTCAATACTTAAGGCATTTAGTTCATACATGTAGTAAATTTCATATCAAACTAAGATCAATTTTGTGTCTTATTTTCAATAATTGCAAAATGAATGGATACTTTTTAGTTAAGCCTTAATATTAGATACAAAGAACTAATAAGCTTTCAAACTGAATGCAATGCCTGGAAGCAGTGAAAACAGAAAGATATATATATATAAAAATTGACCTGTGTTTTCATGACAAGAAGCGTTAGAAACCACTACGCAATCTGGCAAGTGAAATTACAAATTCAACATCCACCTAATGGCTACTGCACTAAAAACGTTTGAAAATTAGCAGAATTACTGAATTGGGTCAAGAATCTTCAGCTGATAGACAAAGCAAAAAACACTTAAATGTCTTAAAAATGGAAAGAATTAGCAAAGCAGGAGAAAATTCCTCGCTTCTCTTCAGTACGAAAAGCACGGCTTATTCTGCATGAAACGTGTGTCTCAGAGCTAATTTTGGTTAAATCAGTACAGATAGCATACAAGGCAAACAAAAAAAATCTGCTGTAAGTTTTAGAAAATGTCCATTCATTCTCCCCCTTATGGGTAAAACAACATATGCAAAACATTATAACTGAAGATATTTCTGAATATAATCTAATTTTCTTGGTATTTTGTTTTGCAAGCATGCTACCAAACACCCAGACTCTCCCTTCCATCTAAGAAGCGCTTTAATACAGCATTACAAAGTGAATTCCCATTTCTCCCACGTTACTTTGATAATGTTTCCTAGAAATCTAAAGCTGGTCTCATCTTTCTCTTAGCAGCAAATATTTTGCACGAGAAGCCTGGCTGTGACACTCAATGAGCATGCAGTTAGAAATATTCTCTGTAAAAATCCAAATCTAAGCTATTAGAAAGGAGCTGAAAAATCCTAATACATCCGGACAGCTTCGTAAAGTCATCATAACGTCTCCATTAACTGCATTTATCAGGTTTAGCTCCAAAGGATTTCCTGCATCTAAAGCACAGCAATACATCACCCCATTGTGAATCCACATCCTTTCCTCTTCGGAGGCAGAAGGGACCTCTGCACTGAGCACGAAGCAAATGCCAGCTCTGTCCTAGGACTTCTGTGTCAGTCGATGTGAAATTGGGCATTAACATTTTTACTACAGCACCACCTTCAAGGAAAGTGATTGAATCCTTTCATGACTCAAGATGCTGCTTTCTTGTTTCCCACAAGAGCTTGTTGTGGGCAAGCTTTAGTAAATAGGTCGTATAGCATAAATAAAAGAACTAACTTTCAAAAGCAACTTAGTATGTAAGTACCTGCAGGATTTTGGCGCTCTGTTTACCAGTCTGAGGGTGCCTCATCTGTCTGCCAACACAGAGATTTTTCTTTCTTACCAAAGAGCACTGCAAACTCATGTTCAGTCTGTGCTCCCTCACTTAAATGAAAGGGTCAGGAGACACAGGCTGAATGTCAACCCTGTCTTTGTTCAGACCCTAACTATTATCACTAATGATAAAGGTACAGACCTCGTGCAGCACAGAGCTGCCTTAGAAACACATCTCATGCAGTTTCACAAAACAAGCGCCTAATTAGTGCTCATCTGCACCCCTTGTTACAATTTCCAAATGAAATCAAAGGGCTTCTGTAAACGAGTCTTGCATTTAACCATTTGTCTTGAAACACAGACTTCAATTTTAAAATATGCACAGATAGCTAAAGATCAAGTGATCCGAATCTATTTGTGCATATTTAAGCACGGCTGCTATCTTAGGATTTTGTTTAATGTTAGTATACCAGTAAATTCCTTGATCTGTAAAAAGCCTGAGATTCTCAGTGAGGCCATCCATACTCACACAGTAGATATTTAATTTATACTATTCACTGGAGGGACCTTTTGAACAATCCTCTGCTTTTGGCATCTCTCAGCTAGAGCATGTGTTGAAAAAACACTTAATTATAGAAAATCACTGGAAAGCTAAAATAGTTCTCAAAGTTTTATGGCTTCTCATACTTACTGAGGATGCTACCGGCTTTTTGGGGGAGGAGGGAGAATTAGAACACAGGCTTTTCCCTTGCTTGGAGAGGATTCGTATTAAAAATGAACCCAACGTGTTTATGAGAGCTGTGGACTTCAGTCATTTCCTATGTGCAGATTATCAGGGGGCGTAATTGTTGAGCATAAGGACACTGAAAGCACTTCTAGTGCTCCAAGAAATAAGCACTCTCATTTCTTAAGGTACTGTAACACTATTTCTAATGACTCCTTCCTCTCCTTAATGTAAGACGCAGATAAAATTCATCACACTGAATAATGCACTTATTTTATGCACAAAGCAAAATCCTAAATGTATTTATCCAGTGAGTCTTTATGCACGTATTTTCTAATACTGATGTGAAAATTAAAACCTTAAGGGTGAATATTGTAGGAACACTAACTAAATTCATTTATTAAACCATGTAAAATAATCCTTGCTCTTTAGTTGCCTGCAACAGGATATAGCATCCCAACTAGTGGCACAGGCAATAACCCTGCTCTAATAAGTAACACGGGAACCTGCTGAAGGCAAAATCAATAGAGCCCGATTCCCAAATTATCTGAATATTTAGTTTTTCAAACATTGCACACCAAGATCTTTCAGAGCCAGCTTATCTTTTTCTGCCTTTCTAAGCTAACTGCATAAGTACTGCTTGTAAAAACTATTTGCCCATGCAAAGTGAAATAATCACAATGCCATGCTCATTTACACACAAAATGATTTTGTGTCCCATTGTGCTCACAGTTGTTCAGCTCTCTAGGGGTGATTAAACTAGCTATGCTGCTACAGCTTGAGATGATTTCACTGAATCGTTTCTCCATGAAGTTGCTTCTTTGCTAAGCTGTTATTTTAACCATAAAAGGTAAACAGAAGGCAGTTGTAAGAGCTCCATTCAGCTCCGTGCCCAGGGCTATAACCCTAGGGCAGAGAATGCTGAAAGACTGCAGAATTTTCCAGGGTGTTGCCTTTCTTGCTCTAAAGCCTTCAGGAATACTGTTCATTTAATACACACTCTAGATGATACATTTCAGATCCTACTAAAAGAAAGACTTCAAAAGTCTAAGAACTTTTGGGCGGATGAAGCTTTCCCACCTCTGCACATAGCCCGGGGCCGTGGTAACCAATACTGCTGCTGATGTTGGGAAAATACAGTAGAAATAAACTGCAGAGAGCAGAGCAGACAGATAGGGACAGGGAAGGTGAAAGGTTGCAGGAGAAGCAAGCGGCAGCCTGGAAGGGATAACGAGCAAAAAGGGGGGAGAGCGGAAAAGGAGGCAGCTCTGAAGGAGGGACAAAGTTAAATCGAGGAGCAGGCACTTAAAAAGACTACAGATGGGAAGCAAGACTAATTGCGGATGTAAAAGCGCTTTGTTTCTAAAGTTTATTGTTGCCAGGATAAAAATTAATTGAAACTAATGCTGTTATTCACTCGTGCAGTTTAATTCCTTCATGCACATTCGAGACGTGAAATGAGCACCGCAGGTTCCAGGAGCCGCCAGTCCCCGCTCGCTCCGCCCGGGCGCCTGCGGGGCCCCGCGGGTCGCGCCCCGCGCCCCGCCCGCAGCAGGACCGACGCCCGCCGACTGGCGCTGCGGCCGCTCCGCTCCGCCCGGCTCTGGAGAGGCCAGCGCCCGCCCGCGGCCCGGCCCCACCGCCGGAGCGGCCCCGCCGCAGCGCTCCGGGCCGAGCAGCTGCGGGAGCGGCCCCAGCCCCGCGGCCCCGCGGAGCCGGGGGCAGAGCCCCGGGCCGGGCATTACCTTTGTCTCCATAAACACGCACGGCGACCGCTCGGGTCTGCCTCCAGAGCCACTCGGAGACAATTGGTTACGCTGAGAAGCGAGCCTAGAGACAAAGAAGGGATGGGGTTACTCGAAACCTCGCACTGGATGGCTCCAAAATTTAAAGTCCGTCAACATTTGCACACACCTCCGCGCTGCCTCACGCACCGCTGTCCCGAGTGACAGAGTGGATCGTGCCCAAAACTTTTGCAGGGGGAGTGGGGGCTCCCTGCGGAGCTCTCCTCACACACACAAAAAAAGCAAAAAAAAAAAAAAAAAAAAAAAGGCAAAAAAAAAAAAGCAGAGGCTTTCTCCCTCCCTCCCCACCCCCGCCCGCTGTGGCAGCCGCCGCTCTATCAGTGCGGCTTCACGTCACCCCACGCCTCTCCCCGCTGCTGGTCAGGGGAACCACCGCGGAGCGCCGCAGCCGCCCTCCCAACTTCTGCCTTTTGCTCTGAAACGCGCGGCGTGCCCAAAGGTAACGATCAGCCAAAAAAAAAAAAAGCACAACATGGCGTCCTTTACTTATTCCCTCATAACAAGAAAGGAGATGTCTTAGATGAACGCGAGGGCAAAAGAACCCCGTAACCCCGATCGCATCCAATTTCGGTGCAGCCAATGGAGGTGAGCGTTAGCCAGGCTAATGTATGAATTTTGCAGAAGTGTGCCACATCGCATGCAGGAGCAGAAATGCAAACTATAGCCTAGAGTGGTTTGAAGTCTGCCCCAGCCCGAGCCTTCCACTCTCACTGGCGCCAGAGTTTCATTCACGGCCCGCCCGTGCTTTCCATACGCGGCGCTCCCATTGTCGCCCGCCTTCCCTTTGTGCCGAGCCGCCCCGCCGCCACCCCCGCGCCCCGGCCGCGCACCCCGCGCCGCCCGCCCGACCCCCGCGGCTCCGCGTGTACCCTGCGAGAGCGCGGAGAGGGCTGCGCTGCCTCCGCCGCGCCGGGGCCGGGGCCGGGCCGTCTTCAGAGCCGGGGCCGGGGCGGCAGCGCGGGCGCCCCGGGCCGCGGGGCTCCGCCGGCGCTGCCCATGCTGGAGCGGAGCAAAACAAAACATACACACACGCACGCACACACACGCACAGGCACACACACGGCGCTAGCAAGCGGGAGCTGTAGCTTTAAAAAAAAACACTCCTCCGCCGCTTCTCCTCCGGAGCCGGGAGCCGAGTTAGTTTGAAGAAGAGGCACTTTCCAAAAAAAAAAAAAAAAAAAAAAAAGGCAGAAAAAAAAAGGAGCGAGAGAAGGCGCGAGCGTGCCGCGCGGTGCAGCGCAATGCAATGCACGGCTCAGCACGGCACGGCACGGCACGCTCCGGCCCGGCCCGGGCAGCCGCGGGTGCAGCCGCTGCCGCGTTCCTTACCTTGAGCACAGGATGAGCCGCGAGCCCCCCTCGGCTTTGGGCTCTGCTGGGTTTGTGTGTGGATGGGCTCAGTTTTTTTGCCTTTATTACTATCTTTGCTCCTCAGATCCTGCTGTGATTATTATTATTTTTAAGGCTTCTCTCTCCTCGCTCGCTCGCTCTCCCCCTCTCTGTTTTTGCCGCTTCTTTCTATTTATGTTGTGTGTGCGCGGATGTGTGTGTGTGTGAGGGGGAAAAAAGCCTTTAAATGAAACTGCCGAGGCTGTTATGAGAAGAAAGGCAATAATCCCGTCTCTAAATAACAGAGGGAAGGGAGAAGAGGAGGAAAAAAAGCGAATTCTTGCTCAAGGCTTTGCAAACGCCTGCAGGGCAGAGGATTAGGCTACAATTAGCTCAGCCCTTTGCTCTCGCCCTAGCTAATTTTGCGATGAAAATTGGATATTTTCCCCTGCTTTTAGTGAAGGTCCCCAGATTTATTTCACACCCCCACCCCCCGTAAAACAAAACACGATCCCTGGAAATGAATGGGGCCGGGAGGCGCCGCACCGCAGCCCGCGGAGCCCTACGCCGCCCGCGGAGCTGCGCGGCCCGGCCCGGCCCCGCCGGCGGTAACGGGTCGGTGCCGGGGAGGCTCGGGCCGCTGTCACGTCCTTCCGCGGGCTTACTGAAAAGAAGAAGGAGGAAAAGGGGGAAGGGGGGGAAAAAGCTGATTTTAATCATTGTCATTTGGTCTGATGTAATATTTCCCCAGGCGTTTTCAACTAGGCATAAATTTTCAGCTCCCAAATAAGTAACGCAGGGCACGTTTCTCACATCTCCCGACTCCTCCGTTACAATTAGGGTAGCACCCACTCCGCACTTGTTGATAAACTACATCAAGTTCAAAAATAAATAATAAAAAAAATCGCCGCGGCCCCCCCGGGCGCATCCCCAGCGCCGGCGGGGTGCAGACGGGGGGTCTCGGCGGCGGGGGGGCCGCAATTATTTCCAGCCCGCCCGCCCGCCCGCCTCCCCCTCCCTTTCACCCTTGCTAATGTCTCGCATTGTAAACGCCAAATTTCCTGTAGGCCATTAAAACCAAATGACGTCTATCGACATGCATTGTGCTATTGCGGAGCGCCCTGGCAGCCCGCCCCCGGCCAAAAGCGCCATTTCAATTAGAGCGTGCGGCGCGATGGCGCGGGGCTCCGCGGGCGGCTCCGCGGGCGCGCAGCACGCCCCGAAGGGAAGGGGGCGGGAACCCCCCTCCGCACCAAAAAAAAAAGAAAAAAAAAGAAAAAAAGAAAAAGCGAAAAGAAACGATAATAAAAATTAAAACAACGCGAAGCCCGCCCCTCAACTTTCCGCCCAAGACGCGCCTCCGCCTGGGGCTCCGCGTTTCCCCGAGTCCCCGCGGGATTGCGCGCCCCGCGGAGAGCGGCCCCTGCGGGAGAAGTTCGGGGGGAGCGCCGCCCCGCAGCGTCCGGCCCTCGGCCGCCGGCCGCCGCAGAGGAGGGGCTCCGGCAGCTGCGCGCCCGCGGAGCGGCGCCGCGCGTCCGGGTGGCCGCGGCCGGGCGGGCTGCAGCGCCTACTAGCCGCCGAGCGCGGCCGCGCAGGGAGTTACGCAACGCGCCGCGGCCGCCCGAAAGGTCAGCCTGGCGGCGGGCCGCGCTCCTCTCCGCGCCCGCCCGCTCTTCCCTCCGCGCCGCGGGGCTCGGGGCGGCCCCACCGGTGCCCGCCCGCCTCGACCTGCGGGGAACGGAGAAAAACAGGCAGGACCCCTGCAATTCGTTTTTTTTTTTTTTTAAAGTTATCTTCCGTGGCAGGAATAAACAGAAACTTTTCTCCTAAGGGTAGCTTTTTTTTTTTTCTCTCTTTTTTTTTTTTTTTTTCTTCTCGAGTACAAACTACAGGAGAAGAGGGAAATTTTCTCATTAAAGTTACATCCCTGCAGTTAGTTCAATTACTTGATATATGCAGAAGATGTTGTAAATTTAAAGATTTAAATAGCTTACAAAGATGCCGCAGGCTCCATCAGTTAATTTCCTTAATTTATGGATTTTTAGCTGAGCTTCTGAAATGAAAAGGAGAATGAGAACTAGGTCAGCGGAGAGATTTGCATCCAGAATAGACTTAAATTTGTTTTCCTTGACCATCCCACCGGCCCAGGTGCGGTCTTCGCTGAGTCCCACCTCTGAGCAATGCGCGGCCCCGAGGCCAGCTCTGTCCCGACGTGCGGCCACTGTGCGGCCCCGCGCGGCCGTCCCACCTGTCGTCGGGCCGGGCGGCATCCCCAGCAATCCCATCTCTCACCGCTCAACAAGTGGAGCACGAGGAGGACGAGATCTGCCGAGGCTCCCTGACCTGTCTCCCACCCCCAGCTACCTCGTGTTTCTGTAAGGATGTACAAACTGCCAGGGATCACCTGACAATGTAATTTTTACTTCCTCTGTGATCTACTGACTGCTAAACGAAAAACAAACGCGAGAACCTTGAACGGCAAGTAGAGCATTGTAGAAATAGGATGCTTCTGCACTGAGGTGCAGTAATGAGGAAAGAGAAGACCTAAAAATACTGCACTGAACAAAAAGTAGAAATTGTTTTCTGACTCATTCCAACACGACTGCCACAGGTACCACTTCACTGGCACGCGTGGCTAATAAAGATCTGCTTTGTTTGTTTGTTTGCAGACCAAAGACTGAACAGCATTTGGGATGAGAGAGGCGTGCGCATGGTAGGATGCTTGTGCAGGACTGTTTGTGCAGGAGCGAGACAGAACAATGTGCTCAAGAGCTTTGAGTTTTCTCACCTGGATTAGTGCTGAGGATAGATAATAAAGGTGTGCATTATAGCTCTATATGCACTCGCTCATTTCTTTCTTCTCACTCATGTGTGCGAATGCCTTTCTGTTGTTGTGTTTCAATATGTATGAATATATACATACAAATTAATACTTGAAAGTTTGATACACACTAAACAGTTTTAGGAAGCAACACTGCAGTATGATTAGTATTGGTGTTTGTGATTTAACATTCCTTTTCCCACTAGATGAAGTTTCTAAGATTTGCAAGGTACATGTCAAGGACGGGTATATAAATGGATTTTTATTTATTCACAACTCCAAGACTAATTGCTTCTCTTTGCCTGAAGGCCAAGAGATTGGTTTTAATATGACACTTCAAAAGTATTCATAGAACTACAGAGATACTAAGTGTCATTGTTTAAGAGAGAAATCTCACTATGCTACTTGTGACCCTGAAAATAAATTCTTCCACTTTAGTTTGAATCCTAATGTTGTTTTTCAGAGTTTTACTTAGAGCTCAACTATTAAGAAGTGTACAAAGGAAAATATTAAATAGTATGTAGTGAAGAAAAAAGAAGATATACTATTGGAAGTGAACATAACTTATTCTCTCAAAAACTCTATTATACTCCTTACAAAGCAATACAAAATTTGTAACTGAAGATTCTTGGGTTAGGTTGTAGGATATTACAACTAAAAGAGCTAAGCTGTAACTTACCATAGGTGTTTTAAAACCTCTTGGCTAAATGCCCCCCATGAGTCTATTAAGATGTTAAATACTTCAAATAAAACACTTTGGATTTTATTATTATTTTTTTTTAATCAGCTCTTCTTTGTATTCTATGCAGATGCTTAACAATTGATTTGGACAGAAGCATTCTCTAATGTTAGTCAGTCTAATTTTTCCATAGCTCATTTCAACTTTTTCAATGAAGAGATCAGAAATTACCCAACACTCTGAAAACAGTATGAAATAGAAATCCGTAAAGAATCCCATCTTATTTTCCTTCATCATTTGGTGTTTTCCAAAAATAACACTGCATATTTGTCAAAATAGAAAATGAAAGATCGTGAAAAGATGCAAATTTTGAGCAACAGAAATTTCCTGTCAATAAGATATTCCAAATATATTTGGAAATGATCAGATTTGAATGGGCTGTGTGAAAGAAGGTATAATGAACTGAAAAAAACCATCAACCTCTTCTACACTGCGATACATGAATTTGTATATGGATCTCAAAGTGCCTGTATGAAGATATTCTAGAGACCTCATCCTGTATTAGTGCAGATCCTTTCCTTTATGTGTCTTCACTCGAGGCTTGAGTCTGACTTCAGGACTTCTCATGTTACATATGTGAACCTGAGGCCAATTCTGGCTTCCTGGCAGCAAAAGCAACATTTGCACTAGCTGCAAAAAGTACACAAAGAAATGTCCAGTCTGCCTGGTCCTCTTCTTTGAAACACTTTATGATCCAGTGGGCACTTTAAGTAACGGAGAAAATAGAACATTTAAAGAAATGTTTAAAGCAGGCAAGTGAGAATTAGAGTTTTGTTCCATTAAAAGAAAGGAATCCATATCTATATGTAGGTTAATACTCTCCTCAATCACGGTTAAGACGCAGATGTAGTCTAGAAGTTCTGAGTAAGAAATTAGTCCTTCAGAAGTAATTTTTGGACAGTTGTTGTTCAGCAAAGCCTACATGGTTTTGTTGCCTTCAGTGGGGTTTACTGGACACGACTACAGTTAGCCTTGTCTCCTGGTGGGAGAAGACTGACCAGAGATAACAGGGAGAAACACATCTGAGCGGTCATGCCACAGGTCCTGCGACTAGCACCACCACCTCCCTCACTTACATTGAGATAGAAGCAGAGGTGTGGAAGGCTAATGCTGATTACAAATGTGTTGAGCTAGTGAGAAAGTTTGCTCTTGTGAGAATCCTGAAAATATGAAGAACTTAAAAAATCAGTGCTTGCTTCGGTCTGCTGACACATAAGGGATTAAAAAAAAAAAAGGAAGAATTAAGGACATCTCCCAGTTGAAGCCAGTTCTGTAACAAGAACTTGACCCAGGGTTTGCTAATTAAGACAAAAAATTTTTTGTCATTTGCAGGCAGATAAGGGATTTCCTGGGAGCAGTAAGCATGACCATGAAGAGAATAAAATCTGATCTTTAGGAACTCACCAAGTCTTGTCACTCTCTTCCTTGAAATGCTCTTTTTTTTTTTTTTTTTTTCAAGAGACGTATTGCTGCTGAGTGAATTTACAAACTGTTACTTGATTGCCTACACAGAGATGGACTCTTTTTGAGACTATCCATTATCCAGCACCTAACTCATGACAGCACTGTAATATAATCTATGCTGGACTGCAAAGATAAAATAGCTTATCAGGAAGTACAGAATCAAATAAGTTTGCCCACCTCTCCATGCTTCCAAATGTTACAAGCCAAAATCAGGTCCTAAAATTAAATATACTCAGGATGTCCTATGTTAGCTTTCAGCATGACGTCAGCTTGTTGTGTTCTCTCATTTATCATCTTAAACAGTTACAATATTGAATATTTTAAACATTTTAAAGTAACTTTTGTGCCACGTGCTTTTAGCTCCTTATTAAATAAAGCGTATCTATATTATAGATGTCATGGTAAGGAAAAAAACATTTTTCATGGTTGGGTGTAATCCATTCTTTGGTTTTTAGAGATGCACAGTACTCTACAGCATGTCACAAATCTACACAGTGTCCCTGAAAGCTTGATTTTTGCATACGGATTGCTGACTTAGCTGAATGATGTGTAAGATCCTGTGCAGCCACGCAGCTCCCAACTGAATACACTTCTAAGGCAGGTTGTATGCATAGTTTTTTTCTAGCAAAGGTCTGGAATAAGTTATACTGCAAAAATGCCACTTAACTGAATACAGAGAATAAAGAAAAGAGCCATAATGCCCCTCTTGGATGAAATTATGTTCTGTTTTTAGGGTTTGAGATAAGCACAGGCACATCTAGAACCAAAGAAGAGTTGCTTCTTATTTATGTAGCAGTATTTCAACACTCTTCCTCTTTGTCAAATAGACTGACAAGTCTGAATATTGTGTGATTGGAACAGAACCTGAGAGAGAAGTCGCTCAACAAAATACGATGACATGGACATGAGAGCAGAAGAAATAGAAAATCAAGCAAATTCTTAGGTATGGATTCCAGAAAGGGATAGAATAGTCACAAATGT